CCAGTGATGTCAGGAGCTGGGCGGGATGCCGGCCAGAGCGTACCAGATTGCTAAGACCCTCCTGCTACTCTGATTGCACCATCACCACCCCAACTCCTAATAACCCTTCCTAATGGCCCTTACACATCTTGCTCGTAGCAACCTAGGAAATTCTGTCCGGAAAGAGGGTGACATTGTGCAGCAGAGTGGCCCCTATACAACAAATATGCCGCACTGCCTGCTGCCCACCCTCCCGCCTTCCCCTGCATGACCCAAATAAATGCTGCCTGAGGCAAAGGGGTTGCCCTCCGTATTAATATATCAGCGTGAACACTGAGGTTAATATATCAATACCTACCCGTTGTGGGCAAATTCCACTACAATATTGTTCTACTTTTCAGCAGTCTGGGGTAATATTATTAACAGAAGGAGAAGGGAAATTGTCCCTGCACATCATCCCATTCACGCCTGTGCGATTTAACATGCATTGCCTAATGAGCATTAATGCATAATAAGGATTGCCATTCTTTTCAATGGGACTCATCCACACCGCAGTGCATTGGCAAAGATAGCACAGATGTGGTTTTTGGTGCATTAACGTGCGTTATGGCCCCCACAGGCTTCAATAGCAACGCATGAAAAACACATGTAACATATACGGTATACTCCACTCCAAGGCAACTTCTACTTTATTTATTTTTTGTGATAAAAAAAATGCAAAATGCATGAAAATGCACTAAAACACGCATAGAAAATGCACAAAAAAGGAAGCTGCAAAGGTGTGAACCTAACCCTAGTCTTTTTTTTTTAGACCATTGAAATAAAATATTGTTTTTTCTGAATAAAGTGAGGGAATGAAACGCACCGCGGTACAATGTGTTATATCTTGATGCAATTTGCAGGGTAGAGCCAGTAAGAACGGTTTGTCTGGTGTGATATTCTTTGTAAACAGATTGTCAACTCCTGGGCCTAACGCAGAAATGTCATTTGTTATCACCTCCGCGGGCTTAAATATCAAATGTTTGTTAAGCTTTCAATGCCTAAGTTTGTAAATAAACAGTCACAAAGTTTAGGAATGTTGGGACCACATCAGCAATGTTTTTCAAACTTCTATTTTTTCCAAAGGAAATGCAGCTTTCAGTACACTGAGTATGCTAACTGACTGTGAGCTTCTAAGATTTCTTAAAAATTAACCCCTCCCAGCCCCTTTCCATCCCCGCACTGCCAGACTTAACTGCTCATTTTGTCTAGGGGAGAAAATAAAAAAGATACCATTTTTTTAGATGTGAGGACCCGAAGAAAACCTGAATGTCACAGCCAGAGCGGAAAGTGGGGGTGGAGGCAGAGGTGAGCGGTCACTGCTGCAGGACTGAGGATCGGGTGAGTATTTATTCTTTATTCTGTCCCCAAGGGAAAAACGAGCCCCACTGCAAGGGTTCATTTGTAAAAATTCTGGAGTTTTTCTTTAATAATAGTGTTGTAGATGCTTTTGCCTGCCTACCTAACACACACAACCCTCACCCAACTTCTTCTCCCTTATAGAGAGGGGGCCCGTGCATTTTACTCTTGCTGATTGACTGCTGCAAGAGGTCAACAAGTTGTTACCTGTGTCAGGGGGGTGCCAGGGATAATGTACTGAGATAAAAAGGTGCAAGTTAAAACATTGGGCACTCACTATCTACAAATCTTGCAGCAAAATAAACGGGATGTAATTGTTACAATTTGTGAATCAAGTGAATAGATTCTCTCATTGTTCATTCCTTTTAATCTTTTTGTTTCATTGTCTAGATATTTGACTGTAAAAAATGCCACTCCTGGTGTTATAAACTGTATTAATAGTGTGTGTTTGTGTGTGTTGTATGTGCTTGTGTGGAATGCCGTTGGAATGCAGAACAGTTGAAAGCATTTTTCTTGCAGCAACTGAACAATTGATTTCATACCAAAGTAACAACGTACCTCTTAAGATTCAGAGGCTGGAAAGATAGACAGACTACATAGATTTATTATACAAAAGATGATTTGTTAATCCACAAATGGGTTATTGCCACTACTCTTTCTTCAATACAATAATATAGAGGTTGGATAGAGCAGTACAACAGTTTTAGTAGTTAAACTATACTAAATTCTTTATAGACGTTGATACATCAGAGGGACAAATGAAGAGGAAAGAAGGACGGAGGGATTTGGTTCCAAATGAGAGACTGTTGGGGAACTAAGGTCACAGTAAGCTTTTAAACCCTCTAGTTCTTCATCAGCCTAAATAAATGTTGGTGATGGGTACATCATACATACGACCAGTTTATTTAATTCTTTTTTTCACTGAGTTCATTACCATTATTGTCCTAATCAAGTCTCAGATTTAAAGGTCTATTCACAAAAGGGTGAAGGGTTTGGAGAAGGCAGGAGAAGGGAACAATCTAGGACAAAATAGCTGAACTGGAAAGTGAGCTGCATTGGAGAATTTTTCCAGTTCAGCTATGTTGTCCTAGATTGTTCACTTCTCCTGTCTTCTCCAAACTCATCACCCTTTTGTGAATAACCCTTTAAGTATTTACTTTCTGAAAAATCATTTAGACCCAATTTACACCTGGGCGTTTTGAAGAATGTTTGTTGATGCGCTTCAACACTGTACACGAAGAATCCCATAGTTTTAAATGGTGCCTGTTTACATCTCAGTGTCATGTCTCCTGTTACTTGTAGATTAAAGCTCGAAAAAGTACATGAGCTTCTTTTAGGGCAGAATCAGTGCGGCAGTGACTACTCACCTCTCTCCCACTCCACTCTGGCTGTGGTATGTCCCTCAGCATTTACATGTCTAATGGACCTGTACTAGATGTCACTGGTCCTTAGACTGATGGAGCCTGGGGAAGAAGAGGCTTTGGGGACCAGTCCAGCAGCCAGGTGTGACCGAGAATTGGGTGAGTATTTCTTCTTTATTTTAGCCCCTAGACAAAATGAGCACTTAACAGTGTGGGGGTAGCCCACTTTAAGCTTTAATCTATCAAATAGCTGGAGTTCTTCGTTAATGTCTCCCAAAACAGTTACTTTCAAGCAATGCCAACTGTCAAGCTTGCCAGTCTGCTTATTTCCACTTTCAACCAAACCTCCAAGCCCTCAAATGGCCGATGTCATGGCTGATCACATGTGTAGTATCATGGCAACTGCAATCCAAGTAGAGTTTAAGACGGCACCTTCCTTGGCCTGTAAAGGATAGGAGGTTGTAGTTCCACTTTCAGCAGATTTTCTATTTAAAGTCTTAGGGGCTAAAAATGCACTATTCTGCTCCTGTACTACAAGTCACAGATACAAATGCACCTTTAAATGGCCTCACGACACTCATGCTCAGGTGCAAATGTGGCCTTATGGCAAGCACTAGCCACAACAGGCCATACATTGGCAAACATTTGCCAGAAATGCGACAGATTTGCATCACATGTGCTGTGAAAAATAGCATTTTGTACTGATTAATGTCAAGATCTAAACAGACAGACTTATAGGATTCACACTGGCTGTACCCCATCCTTGGTTATCACTAAGACATTTCTGCTGCAGGGAGCTACAACGTTCTATATACCGATCAGCCATAACATCATGAACTCTCGCCTAATATTGAGTAGGTCCCACTTTTGCTGCCGAAACAGCCCTGACCTCTCAAGGCATGGACTCCACTAGACCTCTGTAGGTATGCCATGGTATCTGGTACCAAGCCATCAGTAGCAGATCCTTTAAGTCTGCAAGCTGCGAGTTGGGGCCAGCCTTCGCTTCACATGTGCATCTGTGAGCCTTGGCTGCTCATGACACTGTTGCCAGTTCACCGGTTTTCCTTCCTTGGACAACGTTTGGTAGGTCCTGACCACTGCAGACTTGGGTCATCCCGCAAGAGTTGCAGTTTTGGAGTTGCTCTGACCCAGACGTCTACCCATCACAATTTGGTCCTAGTCAAAGTCGCTCAAATCCTTACGCTTGCCCATTTTTCCTGCTTCCAACATATCAACTTCAGGGAAAAAATGTTCATTTGCTGCCGAATATATCTCACCTATTTCTAGGTGTCATTGTAACAAGATAATCATTGTTATTCACTTCACCTCTCAGTGGTTATAATGTTATGACTGATTGGTGTATTCAGTTTATTGCAGCAGGTTCCCTGGGCTTAGCAGTACTCCTTTGTTATAAAAGAGAACACTCATCCTTTAACTTCTGCCCCAAAACATATATTTTAGAAAAAGATAACAATTGACTTCATTGTTTCAGCGGCTAATTCTGTGCTCATTAATCTTTATGAGGAATTTGGGTGGAGTAGCACAGAGCTGACACATACCTCCCAACTTTCAAGATGGAAAAAAGGGTCACCTTATAGAACAAAGTACAACACGCCTCCATCACGCCTCCAGTTACACAGACCGTGAAGAATCTGTAGCCAGTTCCATCCACTGCTACTTTCTTCACCAGCACTTTTCTTTTATAATAGCATTAAATATAACAAATTCATTTACGTAGAGGCTGGATGACAAGACTAGTGTGATAGATCACAAGTACATAGTACTTTAATTTATAGAACTCTATACATCAGAGCCAAAAGAGGAACATTCGAGGCGGAAAGGGGGACAAAAGGATTTGGTTTCTAAAGAGGGAAGATCCTACAACTTATTAAAGGTACACTTCTTCCACAAATCAAACTAGAAGGACATTATGGGAACACAGATAAAAACTACCCCCTGCTTCACTGAAAATTCTGCATGGCCCCCACCCGCCTATAATACATAAAACCAGACTAGACAGATGTATATAACAGGCACAGCTGTAAGACAGATGCTGCACATACAGACACACGAAGATGACACTCACGCTACAAAAACGTCAACTTTACAATGTACCCCATTAAGAAGTGAACTATTTCATCAATCCTACAATGTAACACATATCGCCTACAAATAAAACAATATATTATTCAAAATAATCTGCTAATGGTACTTTCTGCATCTCGCATGTATACAATGTAAATGTGAAGCAGTACTTCTTACCTTTCCATAAACTCCAAATATGCAGCTTTTCCACTAATGGACCTGTACTAGATGTCACTGGTCCTTAGACTGATGGAGCCTGGGGAAGAAGAGGCTTTGGGGACCAGTCCAGCAGCCAGGTGTGACCGAGAATTGGGTGAGTATTTCTTCTTTATTTTAGCCCCTAGACAAAATGAGCACTTAACAGTGTGGGGGTAGCCCACTTTAAGCTTTAATCTATCAAATAGCTGGAGTTCTTCGTTAATGTCTCCCAAAACAGTTACTTTCAAGCAATGCCAACTGTCAAGCTTGCCAGTCTGCTTATTTCCACTTTCAACCAAACCTCCAAGCCCTCAAATGGCCGATGTCATGGCTGATCACATGTGTAGTATCATGGCAACTGCAATCCAAGTAGAGTTTAAGACGGCACCTTCCTTGGCCTGTAAAGGATAGGAGGTTGTAGTTCCACTTTCAGCAGATTTTCTATTTAAAGTCTTAGGGGCTAAAAATGCACTATTCTGCTCCTGTACTACAAGTCACAGATACAAATGCACCTTTAAATGGCCTCACGACACTCATGCTCAGGTGCAAATGTGGCCTTATGGCAAGCACTAGCCACAACAGGCCATACATTGGCAAACATTTGCCAGAAATGCGACAGATTTGCATCACATGTGCTGTGAAAAATAGCATTTTGTACTGATTAATGTCAAGATCTAAACAGACAGACTTATAGGATTCACACTGGCTGTACCCCATCCTTGGTTATCACTAAGACATTTCTGCTGCAGGGAGCTACAACGTTCTATATACCGATCAGCCATAACATCATGAACTCTCGCCTAATATTGAGTAGGTCCCACTTTTGCTGCCGAAACAGCCCTGACCTCTCAAGGCATGGACTCCACTAGACCTCTGTAGGTATGCCATGGTATCTGGTACCAAGCCATCAGTAGCAGATCCTTTAAGTCTGCAAGCTGCGAGTTGGGGCCAGCCTTCGCTTCACATGTGCATCTGTGAGCCTTGGCTGCTCATGACACTGTTGCCAGTTCACCGGTTTTCCTTCCTTGGACAACGTTTGGTAGGTCCTGACCACTGCAGACTTGGGTCATCCCGCAAGAGTTGCAGTTTTGGAGTTGCTCTGACCCAGACGTCTACCCATCACAATTTGGTCCTAGTCAAAGTCGCTCAAATCCTTACGCTTGCCCATTTTTCCTGCTTCCAACATATCAACTTCAGGGAAAAAATGTTCATTTGCTGCCGAATATATCTCACCTATTTCTAGGTGTCATTGTAACAAGATAATCATTGTTATTCACTTCACCTCTCAGTGGTTATAATGTTATGACTGATTGGTGTATTCAGTTTATTGCAGCAGGTTCCCTGGGCTTAGCAGTACTCCTTTGTTATAAAAGAGAACACTCATCCTTTAACTTCTGCCCCAAAACATATATTTTAGAAAAAGATAACAATTGACTTCATTGTTTCAGCGGCTAATTCTGTGCTCATTAATCTTTATGAGGAATTTGGGTGGAGTAGCACAGAGCTGACACATACCTCCCAACTTTCAAGATGGAAAAAAGGGTCACCTTATAGAACAAAGTACAACACGCCTCCATCACGCCTCCAGTTACACAGACCGTGAAGAATCTGTAGCCAGTTCCATCCACTGCTACTTTCTTCACCAGCACTTTTCTTTTATAATAGCATTAAATATAACAAATTCATTTACGTAGAGGCTGGATGACAAGACTAGTGTGATAGATCACAAGTACATAGTACTTTAATTTATAGAACTCTATACATCAGAGCCAAAAGAGGAACATTCGAGGCGGAAAGGGGGACAAAAGGATTTGGTTTCTAAAGAGGGAAGATCCTACAACTTATTAAAGGTACACTTCTTCCACAAATCAAACTAGAAGGACATTATGGGAACACAGATAAAAACTACCCCCTGCTTCACTGAAAATTCTGCATGGCCCCCACCCGCCTATAATACATAAAACCAGACTAGACAGATGTATATAACAGGCACAGCTGTAAGACAGATGCTGCACATACAGACACACGAAGATGACACTCACGCTACAAAAACGTCAACTTTACAATGTACCCCATTAAGAAGTGAACTATTTCATCAATCCTACAATGTAACACATATCGCCTACAAATAAAACAATATATTATTCAAAATAATCTGCTAATGGTACTTTCTGCATCTCGCATGTATACAATGTAAATGTGAAGCAGTACTTCTTACCTTTCCATAAACTACAAATAT